CCTCCCCCTCCCCCCTCCGTCTCCCCCCTCCGTGTTCACCCCTCAGCGGTACAGATTCCTGGTTCAGTCAGCGAGGTAGGGGAGCGGAGGTTAAGAGCTATACGTGAGGGAGGGTCACCAGCTCCCCGTCCACCTCGAACTCCTCGGCTCCGTCGGGGGAGAAGAGGTAGGTGGGGGGTTTCCAGGGGGACTCCTCCAGGCAGGAGGGATACAGCTTCCCCACCGCACAGCGGAAGTCCTTGCCCAGATCCCAGAGCACGCGCTCGGACACGGGCTGCCGCAGGTACCAGCGGTCCAGCTCCAGGTCGTACTGATAGATGGCGTACTTGGCGCGCTCGTTCATGTGGGTTTCGCGCATGAAAATGCAAAGCGAGTTGAGCAGGACCACCGCCCGCACGCACGGGTCCGAGTAACGCTTGGCGGGGATGTTGGCGGCCAGGCGCCACTCGTTCTTGTTGACATCATAGATCTCCACGGTGACGGAGGAGCCGTCGATGGTGCTCGTGGGCAGGCGGATGCCGGAGTTGCTGACCACGTGGAGGCCGCCGATGTAGAAGATGAGGTCGCCGAAGGCAGCCGCGGAGGCGAAGCAGCGGCTGGTCTTGCGCATGGCCATCTCCACCCAGGTGTCGGCCCGCGGGAAGTAGCAGTACATCAGGTCGTGCGTCATTACGTAGATGCAGTCGTGCGCCACTACGGAGGTGCTCCAGTTCCAGGCGAAGGGCAGGGGGCTCATCATGCTCCACTCGTCCTTCTCGCAGTCGTAGCGCTCCACCGTGCGCTTGTTCAGCTCCCCTCCGACGTTATCGCCGCCGATTGCATAGATGTAGCCCTCGCAGTAGACCAGCGAGGGCTTGATTCGGGCGCACAGCATGGGGGTTTTGGGCACCCACGCGTTCTGCTGGGCGTCGAACCAGAAGAAGCTGTCGACCGAGTGGAAGACGGCCTGTAACTTTCCACTCTTGCCGTGGTTGGTGATAGTGTTTTTGAGAGGGATCTGCCCGCCGGCGATGAACACGTCGTTGTCTGGCGTGACGAGGGTTCCCACCTTCTGCAGGTCTCCGGGGGGGTTGCTGAGCTTGTACACTTTCTCCGCCTGCGGGCTGTAACACACTACCGTATAAGGCAAGGACGCGGACATCACATATCCCTCGTGTTGCGTTTCTGACATGGCCTCCATGAAGATCAGCATCTCCTCCTTCGTCATGCCTAACCGGGGTTTGAAGAACTTGGGCATGGACTTGTAGAGGCCCTGCACCACCACGGACTTGTCGTTGGGAGGCAGACCTTGGAACCAGGCGCGCTGCGTCACCTCAGACAGCGCGTCGATGCGGATCTGACTGAGCACGGAGGACAGGTGCTGCGAGCGCGCCTCCATGTTATACTCCAACCACAGCATGGCCGCCTCGCGCACCGTCTCCTCCTTCTCCACGTTGAGGTTGTCGCTGCTCAGGACGTCTATCAACAGCTCGTGGGAGAGCTGCAGGAAGGACTCCTGCCGGTAGACCACGGGGAACTTGTGCTCCACCATGCGCTTGGCGCTCTGCTTTAGCTCACTGCAACTGAACAGGTCGCCGATGCTCAGCATGCGGACGCAGTTCTCAGCGTTTATCTTCTTCACCAGATAGTCTCTGCACTGCAGCAGGACGTCCTCCACCTGGATGAGACCGAGGACAAGAGACGACCCAACACAACCCAATTAAAAAGATGTAAATAACTAAATGTTGGCCACTTGGTAGAACATACTTATACTGAAAGCATGCCAGGTTTGTTTTAGCATTCATATTTAAAGGACATGTGTTTTGTGTTAGTCCATCTCTCAAGATGTTTCTGACTTCTCTACCACTTACACATTAGTTACTGATGAAGACAAATCTTTAAAAACTACTATAAAGTTTCATGTATTTTAAAAAGGTTCAGTCATTTGATTTAACTGGAAAGGAAACTTCTCTGGGGACTATTTTCTGTGGTGTATTAATAACAGAGGATTAAGATATGTATCCCTGTTAGTTAATCGTTAATATTTTTCTTAAGAATCTAACTCAGACCTGCAGGAAGCAGGCGGTCTCGTAGAGCGGCTCCACGGTGCTGTCGCTGATGGCCAGGTTGCCCGTGTAGGCGTAGGTGATGATGATCTGCAGGGTGGCCGGGTCCACGTTCCTCAGGTGGACGTGGGTCTGTTTGCTCTCACTGAGGCCACTCATGAACATCGCCCTGCAGGAACAAAGACGACGACGACAACAACAACAACGCAGGCTCATCAGTCAACGCATCAACAACAGAATGAGGACGTGACACAACAAGATCCCACACTGTCCACGCAGCAGGATTTCACTGCACACCTGGTGGCTCCGCTTGTATTGTGTTAACTGTGTTCTGATAAGCTTCAGCACCGGATTTCTTTTAGTGAAACTGGACTTTACCAACTTTAACATCACGTCAGATATATTTCTGTGCAGCAGAATGGAGATACAATCCAGAGGTGATTTTAGATTAAGAGACAGAGTCACAGTGATGAAGGCACTGTTGGTTTAACATGTGTTTAACATGTGTTTAACGAGGAGAAATGAGTGTATTTACTCGGATTCTATTTTAATTCCAAACTGTTTAGTCCTGACTTCATGATAAACACATAGAACTGAACGACTTTTTAAGAGTACAGCGGGCGATGAAACTCCAAATTCAGTCGTTTGCTGTTTTTCTCTCCAACTTTTTTTTTTTAAATAAACAGAGCCTCCTAATGACAGCTGGCCACTCGCCAAAGTGGCTGTAAAAACAGACAAAGTTACCAACCAGGATCAGGGGACCTGTAACTGGCTGCTGCTGCTGCTGAAATGCTCTTTCCAAGTCGTCCAAAAAGCAAAATCCAACGTTAACTCAGTGTTACTAGAAACATCTAGAGCTGAGTGTAAAACTCTGATATGACACCAGATGCTTTTGGGATACTGTGATACATTTGTGGTATCGTTTCAAAAGCTAACAGGAAAGCAAGTAACACTTAAATTATGTTATATTCTAATGAAAATAACATAATTTATCTTTATTATCCAGAGGTGGAAATTTGTCTTTGTTTGATAAAAACAAAGATACGACACATGAAACAGACAAGCAGCTCGCGGTTCATGTTACACATTCAGAAACAGTTCATGTCAGGCTTAAATCTCAGCTTTTACTTTGTAGAGTTTTTATCTTTAACCATAAATTAGTTTGGTGAAAAGAGAGAATAACAAAGGCTCACAGTGAGCATGATTGATTAATCAATTCACCGTTTGGTCAATAAGATGTCAGAAAAGGCCTCAAACCCAAAGATACTCCGGCTGCTCTCACAGAAGATGAAGAACAGCAGCACATATTTACTGCTAAGCTGGTACCCAATTCATTTTTGGCGTTTTTTGATTTTAAAAATAACTTCCAAGCACTCAAAATGATTGAATTAATGTCCTGTTGATCATTCGAGCTCTAAGAGCTACATTACAGTTAAATGATTAAAAGTTATGAACGTATTAAGAGTGTGAAATGAAACAGTGAATGGCAATTACCTGCCCGGCCACCATTTCCACATTCCTAATGAGTTCTTCTTTCTTTAGAAACTATTGATCCGGTTATTGTTTTGACTCAGAGCCATATTACAGCACACTACACTGGCCTGAATACCACTGCTTTATTAGGAGCAGATGTTACGGCTGACTTGAGGCTCCACAGCTCTTGTACACTGATTACTGAGTCCACCAACCCAGTTTCCTAATACTCAATTACAAAAAGTGACAGTCAGCACCTGTCTGGGGGGCTAACTGTGCACAGTTTCGCTCCGGCTGGGCTTCTCTCTGCTCCAACTCCCATGTTGCTGCAGCCTTGGCGAGCCGCCTACACTTCCACGTTGTCATTCATCGCAGCTCGGAGTGAGTCAGAGCCTCTTTAACCTCTTTCACCACATCGATTTCTCGTGTTTTGTGCCTCTGTGGAGCGGTTATTGGCTGGGAACTGATCATTTGCATTCACCGCGGCGCCATCTTCTGGTGCCGAACGCTCACGTCTGCAGCGGCCGGCGTGTCTGTCAGTAACACGTCAAAGAGCCAGCACCGGCGATACAGTGACACAGGTTTTCGCTGTTTGTGTTTTCTGATTTTGAGGGTCTGTCAGTAGCTTCATCGTTGCCAAACTACGCAATTCTTCTGTTTATTCCACAGAAGATACAACCGCTGCTGAGGAATGTATAAACATCACTTCCAACGGGTAAACGGCTCCCAGGGAAGGGTGTTGAACAGTCGTGTGAATCAAATATGGATTTATTTCGGGGGAATATCCTCAAATAGATTCAAATTAAAACAGTGCAGCAATATTCAGTCTATGAAATGATTGATTGACAGGCCACAAATCTACAACAACTTTGATAATCAATTAAGGCAGACGATGAGGAAAGGTGTCAGAAACGTGTTGCTTCCTGCAATGTGAGCATTTGCTGCCATTTCCTCTTAAACTGAGAAACAACTGAGATAACCGGCCAATAATTTGTGGAATTTTAAGTAAAACTGTTCTCAAATGATGTGTTTTCAATGTCTTACAGGAAGGTAAACTGGATATTTTTGGGTTATGAACTGTCGGTCAGCAAAACAAGACATTTGTAGACGCTGTTTTGGGGCTCGGGGAAGTCGCGATGGGTATATTTCGCAAACTTCCTGACATTTTTTAGACAGAACACCAGAAAGAAACCGGCAGATTAATCAATAATGAGTTGCAGCACTTGAAGCAGTTAATTTGAAGTTCTTCTGTATATTTTTCTACAATTTCTGACATTTTATAAATGAGATTAAGGATTAATTGAAAAATGGAAAGGCCGATTAGACGATGGTGATATATATTTAACTCTTAAACAATAACTGGTCTGTAACACAGCTCTGCCCTCCTGTACGGGGGTTTGTGGCTGTGTGAATGTGTTGCTCGCAGCAGGGGCTGAACCTGCCAGGCTCTATTACGCAACCCTGCAGGCATACCCCTGCACCCCCCTCCCTGTTTTTCCTCTTTCTTCCCCTTTCTCTCCATCTCTCACCAAGACCTACGTGACCAGACTTTCCCCTCCAAAACACAAGCTCTCTCCAGAGTCTCGCCCCCCTTTTCCCCTGAAGCGAGGCGTGCGAGGAGAGAGGGAGGTGGAAGGAGAGGCAACGCGGGAGAAAGAGAGAGAGAGAGAGAAGGAAGGAGTAGCGGTTTAGAGGAAGCGCTGCGACACCTCTGAACCCTGGAGGGGGAAATGCTTTGCGTGTTCGCACCAGATAACGAGTGCGTGGGAAACAGTGGGGAAGATCGCCGAGAGGTGGGTGTGAGAGAGGCATCAAGTTGTCGGGACCTTTTCTTGGAACGCATGTGTGAGTGTGCAGTGGAAGGGGAGGGAGGGAGGGAGGGAGGGAGGGAAGGGTGAGACAGAGAGCTAGACAGGGTGTTCAAATGCAGCATGAGCTCCTGTCATGTACAGATGGACTATTCCCAGAGCCGTGGCTGCTGCTGCTCTGTCATATTCACCGCAGTGCACACACACTTCATTATGCAATGTTGTGCGTACAAATGAGGCCTCCCTGGGGCCTTGAGGGATACGTCTGTGCAACTACAGGTTAGAGATAGCTTCATTTATTCCGTGGAGCAGAGGGAGACTCGAGCCCCGGCTTTCAAGGAAACACCATCCTCTTGGTTTCCATCCTCCACGTATGGAGTGGGTAACACTTGCTCTACAACGTGGTGCATTATTCATTGGAACCGTAGGAGGCTGCGCACTTACAGACACAACAACTGTGCTACATAACGACAGCGTAGCTACACCTCATCATGATCAGACGGAGGGGAATAACTGCTGTCTGCCGACACAAAAGCCCAACGTTGAGCGCTGCATTATTTATTGAAACTGTAGGAGACAAATTCAGACGAGCTATGAGCACACAAAGCGGGACCACAATCAGCCCGGGGTCGTTAAAAACCCAAATCCCCGACGTACGCCGCGAGTTATTCCACACCGGGGCTGACGTTGGTGCGGCGCACTCACCTGAAATAGGAGCTACATGTGGCCAGGACCATCTTGTGACAGGGGAACTCCGTGTCCTCCACCAGCAGCACAACGTCAGTCAGTAATTTCTGTTCGTAAAAGAACTTGAGCTGCTCCAGCAGGGAGACAGCGTAGTCCGTGTTGACCGGCCTGCGCTCACTGAGATCCGACATGGTTGCATCCCATGAATCGCGCCCCAGTTTTGAAAAGTCTCACGGCCGGCAGAACCGGACTCAAGCCAACCAGGAGAAAAAAAAATAAAGATTTAAAAAGGATAAACGGGGGGGGGGGGGAGGGGGGGC